AGGACACGTGAAGATCGTCATTTAAAATTTCGGACTGATCTACATTTTTGATGAGTATAAATGGTTTGCACCATATCACAAACAAATGCCCAGAAAAATTCCGGCTGAGACGTTGAATACTTACTAACAACCGGCATGAAATCAAATTGGAAACTGATCGCGACCTGGAGAAATTCGCAACACCAGCGAAACGAAAATGGTGGCCAAACTCACTCCTAACAACTAACAACTTATGCGACCGGTTTCCAGTTTGGTTCGTACCGAGTTTCCTGAGTGTGAGTATTTGGCGTTTCTTTTCATTGTTGGGCGTCTAGTTTCTTCATTTCGTTGGTGCAGTCGCAAATTTCGGCTGGTTTCTGTTTGGTCTTGCATCGTTGAACGCCCATATCTCTGGAACACATGATCAGATCTTTGCGATCTATAGTCCTAAGGTGAATATTTTTGCATTTAGATCAACAAAATCGGGGCAATATTAGATTCAAAGTCGGTGCAAAATGACGGACGGATCGTGAGGCAACGATATCTCGCCGATCTGTGTTCAGAATTTTGCGAACTCGGGTTCGTTTGATTCGCCTAATCAACGAACATTCTTTGTATTCGGAGCGTAAAAATTGGTTGGATATTGGGAGAAATATAAGCGTCCAAAGTTGACTGATGTTTCTTGGCATTTTTCCGAGACCGCCGGTGTTGGTTAGGGTTAGTAAGAGTTCTCCGGGTGTCCAGTTTCTCGTGTTGGTTTCGTCGCGACCGGATCCAGTGGGTTCTTTGGTGAGTATTTGATGCTTTGCGTTGATGAAATGGAAGTGGTCTTGAAAAATCGATTTTAGCACTGTCAACAACAATCAAATAAAATTTTTAATTAGTCAGTTTCTTTTTGCTGTCAATCAGAAACACTGTAAAATTGCTCGCCAACTTTATGATTAGTACTTTTATTCAAAAAATGTTAAAGCTCATTGTCAATGGTGAGCCAACACTAGTATTTTTATTGGCTATTCAATTTTGGTCACATGATTGCAATCCGGATCGGATTATATATCACGTGTAAAAACATGATTTTAGTCGACCCCCTTTAGTGGACCCCAAAAACGGAAACAATGACAGCGTAAACATCACGTGATATTTGATCGTCTAATAAAATTTCGATCTTTCCATTCCTCGCGTATTTATCATGTCTTCAGCAAAGAAAGCATTTGTAAAGACTAAGGTCGCGAAACAGACTTTTACGATACCATTATCAGATGTACCAAATGAAGGTATTGTATTTTTTTAAGAGGCGTTTAGTCTAAATACCTTGGTTATGTACTTTTCTTAAAATTTGGTGGTGAAAACTTTTTTTAGAAGAAAGCTCAGAAGACGAAAATGAAAATATATACTCATTTAGTGAAGACGAAGTGGATGACAACAAAGAAATTGAAGAGGATAACGATGACAACAAAGAAATTAAAGAGGATGACGATGACAACAAAGAAATTGAAGAGGATAACGATGACAACAAAGAAATTAAAGAGGATGACGATGACAACAAAGAAATTAACATTGAAGAAGTGGATGAATCGAAAGATCTTTTGGCTTCATCATTGCCAAAATACATGAGACAAGCCGAAGGTGTCTTGAGTAAAAAACAACTAAAGGTGCATATAAAAAGATTCAATTGTTAGCTGATTTTTAATTTGAATTCTTCGTTAACCGATTCATACTTAGAAAATAAAAAATAAAAAATTAAAAGGAACTCTACAACGTACCGAAAAAAGATTTAATGAGGCTGCACGAAAAGCAGCGAGCTCAGAATTATTATTGACCGAGGAAGCTGGGTAATTATAATATCGCATATTTGAGTTTACGTTTTTTTTTAGATATTGAATTTATTTTCATTTAGCCACCTTGAAGCTGAAGGCATGGAAAAAACTTCCCAAATTACACAAGAGAAACTAAAAGAGCATGTAGATCTAAATTCGGCGTCAAAGGTACTTATTTTTTTTTTTGTATTTTTAATACAAACTAGCTGAATACTAAATTATTTTTTGTTTCTTTAGATATTTAATTTAAATTTACCTACTTTTGGACCCTACGCTTTAGATTACACTCGAAATGGCCGGTAAATTGAAAGTTTGATCTTCAATCGTACGCACTCGATTTTTAATTTTATAAAATATTCAGATACATGTTGATAGGTGGTCGAAAAGGTCATATTGCAACTTTTGACTGGCAAACGGGTCGTCTTGGCTGTGAATTCCACGTTAAGGAAACGGTACGGGATGTCAAGTGTGTAAACAAGTTTAATTTAAACTATCTTTTTCACTGATTTTTTTGCTTCCTTGTAATTACCTTGATTATCTTTCCCTTATAGATGGCTTCATAACGAACAATATTTTGCCGTGGCTCAGAAAAAATACGTATATATTTATGATCAGAATGGACTCGAAGTACATCGTCTAAAGAGACATATCGAACCTAATAGGCTAGAGTTTTTGCCATATCACTTTTTACTTGTTTCTGTGGTGAGTTTTTATTTAGTAAATTTCTTTTTTTAATTTGATTTTTTAATGCTTCTATTATTTGGTTACGTATAATTTGGGGATACAGGGAAATGCCGGGTGGTTGAAATATCAAGACACGTCTACCGGGAAATTTGTCGTTGAATTACGAACAAGGCTTGGCAGATGTGACGCGATGACTCAGAATCCCTGGAATGCAATTATTCATTTAGGGCATGCTAATGGTAAGGTTCTGTCATCCATATCAATCATGTCAAATGTAAAAATAGTTGCTAATCGAATTCAGTATTTTTCTATTTGAATGATATTCTTAGGTACTGTCACACTATGGTCACCAAACATGTCAACGCCGCTCGTTAAAATGTTGACGCATAAAGGTCCTGTGACAGCACTAGCAGTTGATCGGACTGGAAAGTGTGTTCTTTTTATCAATAATAAGCCAGTCCAATATTACAATAATTTAATATTGAAAATTCACAAACAACAGGTATATGGCAACTTCTGGTCTTGATGGAAAACTCAAACTTTGGGATGTCCGAACATATAAATCGTTGCAAGAATACTTTACGCCTACTCCTGCCTGTTCGCTCTCGATTTCACAGCTGGGGCTGTTGGCTGTGGGGTGGGGACCTCATATTAGCGTTTGTACCTTTATTTTGTTTCTTCCCGGAAGTGTAAGTTTGAAACAGCATGTCATCTCATATATTAATATAATAATACTACATCATTAGGTTTGGAAAGACGCTTTCCTTCAAAAACAGAAATCACCATATATGACACATATCCAACGCGGCACGCAACTACAAGACCTCCATTTTTGCCCGTACGAGGACGTGCTGGGGTTCGGTCATTCGCAAGGAATATCAAGTCTAATCATTCCAGGTGGGTGCTAGCTAATATTTAGATTTCAATCTTTTTGATTGCATTTTTGATATTTGGAAAACATTCAAGATATATGTTAAATAATAATAGGTTCTGGAGAACCGAATTTTGATAGTTTGGAAGCGAATCCATTCCAGACGAAGAAACAAAGGCAAGAGGCTGAAGTCCATAGTCTTTTGGACAAGGTATATTTATCATATATATATATATATATATTCTTATGTTGAGAAGAAGATACATATCAAAACATTGATTTTTTCGCTTGCATATTGTATATACTAGATTCAACCTGAAATGATTACTTTGGATCCATCGTTTATTGGTAAAATGGATCGTGCTCCACAAGAACTTCGAGAAAAAGAACGTATGGAACGAGAGGTAAAGATTCCCAAATAATTTGTGAATAATCAATTCATGGTTCTTTATTTTTAATTACAAGTTAAAAAAGGCTGAGCAAGTCGCTGGTGACATGTCAAATCCTCGTAAAAAGACACGAGGCAAAAATTCTTCGTTGAAACGATACTTGCGAAAGAAAAATAAGAATGTTATTGATGAAAAGAGGGTGAGTCTTTGTTCGGAAAAACGAATTTTATTCTTGGAACTTTAACAGAAATGTTAATAATAACTGACGTAAAATTTCCCCGAATAAAATCATAGGTACAATTTGAAGAAAAAATTGCACGTGAACGACAAGAACGCGAAAAACGTAAGCGTGGAGAACTGGATCACGATAAGGCATTTACGGCTTTAGATCGGTTTAGTAGTGATTATAGTAAGAGAAAAAAGATTTAGTATATGTAGTTTTTAAAAAATTGAACTTTTAAGATAATAAATTGGAAATGACAATTGCTTGTAGCTTATGTCAATATAAATATCTATTTTATCAAATTATTGCTATTTATAGCATAGTTATTAATTTAAATGCAAGTTTAATTAGCGATTGTGAAACACAGAATCAATGTACTAATAATTGACGTAAATAATTAATAGTATTGTTTAAGCCCAATAAACAACCTTCATCCCTTCCAATACCCGTCTGAAAATAAGAATGTGCAAAATCGATCATTCGTAAATCAGTAATTCTTAAATCATCGCCTGCTTCATCTTCATCATCCTCATCATCCTCTTTATCTTCACCCTCCTCCGTGTCATCATCAATATGTACATTTGGTTTTTTCCCGCCAATATCTCCCTGTTGTTTTTCTTGTTCAAGCGCATCCGCCAATACTTTTTCATCACCTTCGTACACAAATAACAGCGACGCACTATGTAACCGTAATTCGTGATTTTCAAGAACTTTATGAAACTCTTGTAAATCGTCAATAAAGCGTTTTATCACTACACTTCTAAGGTTATGTGGTGGGGAATCCTGTAACACGTCGAAATATTTTGCGAATCCGGAAAATACGGTGTCTTTTGTTAGGCTGTAGCCAAATTCTCGGGGGTATATAATGAAAGAATTTTTTGATTTTTCATAAACCTGGATTTAAAAAAACGGTTATTTTTTGATATTTGAGATGTGTGCGCGTGTGATGGTTACCTTCATCGCCGTGATTCGTATACCTAGTGTACTCGACGTGCTCGATTCAGCTTTTTTGATCATTTTTTGGCGTTTTGCTTCGTCAGCATCTGGTCCATACAATACAATCCCCAGTTTTAGATCCAGCATACACGGTTTTTTAAATTTGCACGTGATATTCTCAATACATATGGCTTGTGTTTTTAGAACCAAATCAAATTAAGGAACAAACAACAGAAATATAAAATCAAGCTGTAATCAAATATTTTAAAAAAGGATATCTTCCACGCGCTTTATATCAATCACATTCTGTTCCCTGTTAACAATATCACTTCCTTCTCCACTTCCGACACCTCCTACAGTACCATTAGCTTCCACCGAATCAACAATGTTCGTAGCAATAGTAGCCAACTGGGATTGAACACCTTGCAACTGCAAACTCCCAAAGTATCGCGGTATCCACTGTGCAAACTCTGGATACAACACGCTATTCTCATAAAATTCGCGTTCTATCGTGTTGGAAGGTTTCACTAGTATCGAGCCGTCATTCATTGACAACAATTTTTTGTGGCCACCTAGTTGGTGTTCGAAGGATTGAAGTGCAGTATTGGTCATTTTGCCATATGATGATAGTCATTAATCATATTTGTCATATATCATATGATAAACAAGTAATAAATCAAAGAACATATTATTATTATTTATAATATGCCTTTACCACATAATTTAAAAATTCTAATAATAAAACAAATGCAAAAACTGTATGTACTTTTTGTGTATTAAATAATAATGAAGTTCAAGCAGCAGCATTAAAATCTGGATGTTATATGTCAAATAAAGCTAATTTGTATCATGGATATTTAGCTAATTATAAATACTTTAAAGTAGCATATTGTTACTGTAGTAACATATTATTCTTTAAATTTATAATTTCTTTTAATTTTTTACATGAAAATCTTATCTATAATTATTTTATTACACTAATCACATAATTTGTATTTTATTAATATTAGATATATTTAAGAACATTCTTATTTTATTATTTAATATTAAAAACATTTTGGAATATTCTTTTATTTATATTAAAATGTTAGAAATATTTTATTGTGTAAAGTCATGTGTAAACCATTTGTGATATTGTACAATATTATTTTAATACTTTAGAAATATTAAGAAATATTAAATAATATTATGCAATTAGAAAAAAATATTTGAAAACATTAAACAATAGCTAAATAGTTATTTTTAAATAAAAAAAATATTTGAAAACATTAAACAATAGCTAAATAGTTATTTTTAAATAAAAAAAATATTTGAAAACATTAAACAATAGCTAAATAGTTATTTTTAAATAAAAAAAATATTTGAGTTGTAATATGTGTAATATTAACTTGTAATTAGTATAACCATCAAAATTGTATATATAAAGATGTTCTTAAACCTCTTGAAAAATTCATGCTTTAATATTCTAATTAAATAAATAACAAAGTTCTTATTTGAATTCATACTTGTAAATATACTATTATTTTTATTGAATATTATCTTTAAAGCTTATGCACAAGTAGTAGAATATTTCTACTTTAAATAAGTCTCATCTTTTGATTTTGATATTTTTGATTTAGGTAGTCTCAATAAGTTCTACTTGAATTATTTTATACATATTTTATTTTGATTTAGGCAGTCTCAATAAGTTCTATAATATTTTTGAATTAATTTGGAATATATTCTTGATTAATCTTTTAATTTTAATTATATTAAAGTTGTTTAATTATATTTTTATTAAACTTCTTTTTTCTTTAATTATATCAATCACAATTTTCACAAAAATTGATATAGGAGATCTTTAAAATCTTTAAGAATCTCTCTTTAAGTAAATCATTCAGTCTTAGCTCAAAAACTTGTATGTACACTATTCTTTAATTATAATAATTAAAGAGTAATCACAATATTTTGGTACTTCCTCTATAAAAATATATCTCTATCATCACAAAATTTTATCTTAGTGAATAAATAAAGTATATGTATTCATGAGAGAATTGATCAATAATCATCTTGAATTACACAATGAAGATAATTTTATTTGATAAGTACAATTATATTATCTTTTTTGTTTTTCATCATTAACTGAATATATTCTTTTCTTTTAATGATTTTGATTATGAATAGAACTTGCTGGTGCTTGTATTTATAATTGAATTACTAGTTAAATATTCAGAGAGTTAACTTTGTTCAATTATAGAGAAGTTCATTCTTTAATAATTAGATAGAGGATAGTTTGATTATTAAATATTATTTTATATTGAAAATATTTATTGATAGATGATCAAATTTAATTGATTACTGAATATACAAACAATTTGTTGAAATACAAGCATTTGAAAAAATTTTTGTGATAATCTAAGTTTAAATAAAGAAGCTTTAGATAATTATTATTCAGAAATAATTGATACAAAAATCAAAACAGAAGAAAATAACTCTGAATATAACAACAAAAATTTAATCTACGTTGAAGAAATCTCAAATATTAATCAAAAAGAATCATCAGAAAGAATTGAATCACTGATATTATTTGAAGAAGACAATAACAAAAAGAATCTAAAAACTAATAAAGAACAAGATCAGATTAATAATTAAAGCACTCAAAGTATAACTATTAACTTCAAAAATTGTGACGAAAGGAATGATCATGTTGAATTCTTAGCAATCATAAAACTTGAAAAGTGCTAAATTATAAGGAAATATTATCTGAAATTAATCAAAATAATGATAAAACTATAAAATTCTGTAATATTATAAATATCTTGCTTATATCTTTGCAAATAGAATTAGATTATTATTGGAAACTTTGAGATTTATATATAAATAAGAAAAATAATCAATATACAAAATGCGCAATAGTTCATCTAAGTTATGCTTAAAGAATTAATTATTAATATAAATATTCAAATAATTAGCTTGTAAAGTGAATAAGTAAAGTGTAATTTGTCATTGAATATTATTTGTATAATAATAATATTATTATAATATGAATATTTAGTTTTTATTTTATTGGTTAATTTATATTGTTATCATATTTTATGAGTTCTTGAAAGAGCTAGTGAGTACTTAATAATATTATAATAAGTTATTTGATCAAGATAATTATAGTAAAGTTTATTAAGAATTATGGACGGAAGAGTATAATATAATCAAATCTATATAATATATCAAGTATTAAACTAAAATTATTAATGAATTTAAAGAGAGATAACAGTATATTCATAACATAATTAGCTAAAATAAGATCTGGAATTTTTAATAATAATATTTAATTAAAGAATTTTATGTAATAAATATGTAATTTTATTATAAGATCATAATTCAATAATAATAAAGTATAATTTTATTATTAGACGAA